CCTGGCATTGCTGCAGCTAGTCCATTTCGAGTTGATTCCAGTGAGGTGGCAATGCTACTGACATCGATATATCGACGGTTATTTCCTGATCCGCAATCCATAATAATGCGACTGTATGATGTTTCTCTCTGACTTTCCATGTCCCTTCCTAGCATTCCGAGGAAAATAACAATTACATCAGTATCGGAGGCTCTGACGACTACATTTCCAGTAGCGTTAGCTGCATGGAATGCGAGGAGAGTGTCGGCTTCCTCGTGAATACTCTGTAGATGGGCTGGATGTTCAACTGTCATCTTGGATTCAAGCTCATTGAAGTCAATGCGGCCACAGCTGCCACCATGGGAAACGATGAGTGTCTTCTTGGCTAGGATTGGTCCATACTGGTCTTTTTGCCATTCTTTGGTAAGAAATATCGCCAACTGGTCTTTGAAGATCCCGTTTTGTAATAACTCCTTACAGCTCTGTTTGGGTGCTTGCTCTGGACCGGAAATCACAAAAGGACAATCTTCTGCTCCACGTAGTTTCCTCTCACTCTCTTTCAAGGAATTAGCTTGATAAGTATCAAACAATATGTGGATTTCATCTCCTTTGCTGGTACAGACGTATGCAAGAAGATTTCTGGCCAGGTTGCCATAGTGGTGATATCCGAATAGCAGATAAGAATGAGTGGATCAAGAGTCCACCGTCGATTAAGGTCACATCAATTGGCGGAAGTGGTGTTTCAGTGAAACCGTCCTGTAGCTCCTCTAGTTTTCCAAGCAGCTTGCTCTTGTCTGTCTTCAGGCCTGACCCATCCGTGTGTGCGATAGAAAGTGGGTACTCTGTAATTGGAAAGGTCATGACATGTTTGAGGTTGAAGGTAGTCTTCTCTGAAACGATGACAAGGATGCGAATGAAAACATCTCTCAAACTCTCAGCAGCAGATTTCTCCTTGGCACTAGGACGCCTCTTCTTTAAGTTTTCTGTGCAAAATTGCAGACCTTCCTTCGTTTGATTGGTTTCATAAATCTATCTGGATCTTCTGCACACTCTTCTTGGAACTGGATACGTAGTTTGTGGCCTTCATCAAGACTTTGAGTTAGATACGCTTCTGTCTCCTTGGATGCTGATTTGCCTGTAGCTATATTCAGGAGGCAAGTTGACATTGTTGCTGGTGGGAGAATGGGTCACATGATTGTGTGATTGCATTGACCAAGGCATCCCTTTGATGAGTGTCTTTCTCAATTCTGCTGGCTCGTAGCTGGGTTGCAGGCTGTTCCTCTGCTTCCAGTCCTGTGATATTCCGCAGCTCTGTCACAGACATACCCCGCTGAGCAGATGTTATGCACCATCTTCTTATGGCACTGTGAGAATTGTGGAACCATACAATTCCCTTCATGGGTGATGCCGCATCTTTATTTACGTCTGCTCAGAGTCAAGTCAATAGCAGATCTACCCGAATTCTTTCTAGTTCGCCTAATGGAGAATGCCCCTAACTGTAGAATCATTCGACTCTGAGTGCTGCTTCATGAGCTGGTTGAGAAATAGTACACCCCAACGGGCATAATTGGGACGATTTAATCCAAAGAAGATGTCAATTATAGCTGGCAATATGGTGATGTAGTCATCAACATCATTCGTGCGGAGTGCACGCATGAGATCTCTGTGAACTCGATTAACCATGAAGATATATATGCTCCAGTATTGAGCAGTTGGGCCGATTTTTCCATTCATCACGTCCTTGAAGAATAGCTCATACTGTTTCATATGTTCTTGGAAAAGTGGGTGTGTTTCAAGAAACTGTTCTCGAACATGGACATCATCGGGACATCTGCAAGTAGGTCTCGATAGCATCTTGCTTTCAGTCGAGTGGTGAATGCCAATAAATTGATCTAGCCCAAATTTAGGGGCTCTTTTCGGGTGTCTGGCAGGCCCTATGCAGCAGAAAATTTGTCTGGCAGGGGCCATTCTGTACTATATAGGGTGTAATTAATGATTAAACTTAATTTCAAGTGTATTTACAATACTTAGTCTAGGCTAATGAACGATTTTGGAATAGGGGCCATATTTGGAGGATGGTAACATTCGTATCAGGCTCATCCAAGTTGTCTGTGGGGTTGTCAGCATCCATTGCAGGCAGGTCTGTATCCTGAAAATGGATGACAACATTCGTATTATGTCATGGTCACTGCACTTGGGTTGAAAACATAATGTTCATGCATATTACTTGGTGATGGATTAAAGGAATAATAGGTCCATTGATTATGCAATGTTGACGAATGCTAGAGTAACTGGCACCTTGTGTAGTTAATAAGTACATTACCTTATAGCCAAACGCGTATTAGTTTGTCCAATATCACTACTGGTTACTAAGAAATTGCAATCCGAAGTCCAAGAAATCGGTTGTACAGTTTTAAACCGCTGCCGGCGAAGCGGGTGTGATACAGATTTATAGCGCACCGGACATTTTCGCACGCATGCTCAGCCGTACGCAATGCTATCATCAGTGATTTCGTAAACACGGACGCTCGTGATAAGGAACTTTTTGTCAGGACTGTCCAAGTGCGTCCGTGATTAGTACGTGTGTTTTACTCCATTTCCATGTTTAGCCCGTGGCCGTGGTTACACCGCTGACACCTCCATTTCATCTGGCGTCCAAAAATACGGGCCGCACAAATGTTTACGTTATCGGCGACTCATCGCTTCACTCCTGGATGACATTTACGGCACGTAAATGAATATCAGCAACCGATTTCAAGTCTTGTTTGTAATGTAATTAGCCGTGATATTGGACAAACTAATACGCATTAGGCTATAAGGTTACGTACTTATTAACAACACAAGGTGCCAGTTACTCTAGCATTCGTCAACATTGCTGAATCAATGGGCTTATTATGCCTTTAAGCAAGCTACCATAATATCTGGTTTGAAGTGGATAAACCACATCCATTTGAAGGAAAAAAACAATGCCTACCTGATTAGCTTTAGGATCATCCACGTTGCAAGGGGGGTTGTCACCATCCATTGCGGACAGGTCTGTATCCTGAAAATTATGATAGCATTCATATATTAGTAGAGCAATATTAATCAGTTTGATTGGCCTTACTCGACCGACCCTGAATATTTATTTTTATTTTTATTTATTCTCATGGTGTCCTGTATGGTGTTCCGTAGTTTGTTTTATTGTCATAGTAAGTCTTGAAATGACTAAGAAGAGTAGTAATTTTTGCTGTCTATATAATAAATGATTTCTTGGGAAATTACAACACTGATAGAGAACATTTTCAGTGTAAAACTTTTATTGTCAAGTTATTTTGAATGTATTTACAGACATGCTGGAAATTATTACCATGACTGATTATTTACAATAACTCAAAGCGACATCGGACATGTTGGATTTTATTAAACATTTCTTTACTTTTAATTAAAATACTTCTTACTAATTACACTTGCCAACAAAGCCCTTTCAGTTATATCTACAGTAGCCAAGGTGATATGCAAAAAGTCGACTTACCATGAAATAAGCAAATTTCCAGGTTGTTTTTACACAACAGGCTTGAAAACTTCTGTCAATTCACATAGTAAAGAAAGCCTTTCACCACAGTGCTGCCCTCTATAGAACTCACTTTTTACTACAGTGACCTCTATTTCATGCAGTCAAATCATTTTAACCTTCCAAGATTATGTAAAGATTTTTTCGGGGTGGTGGGGGCCTTATAGGTAGTTGACAGATTGATTAAATATATAGGTAAATTTATAATAATGACCATAGAGGCCATATTTGGAGGGTGTCTGCCGGGCCCTTTGCAGCAGATAATTTGTCTGGCAGGGGCCATTCTATACTCTGTGGGATGTACTTGTTCATTTGAAAGTGGTTTGAGGTGGTACCTCCAATAATTGATCTAGCCAAAATTTAGGGGGCTCTTTTCGGGGTGTCTGGCAGGCCCTATGCAGCAGAAAATTTGTCTGGCAGGGGCCATTCTGTACTATATAGGGTGTAATTAATGATTTAAACTTAATTTCAAGTGGTATTTACAATACTTAGTCTAGGCTAATTGAACGATTTGGGAATAGGGGCCATATTTGGAGGATGTCTGCCGGGCCCTTTGCAGCAGATAATTTGTCTGGCAGGAGCCATTCTATACTCTGTATGATGTACAGTTTGTTCATTTGAAAGTGGTTTGAGGTGGTACCTCCAATAATTGATCCAGATGAGACGGGATACTAGAGAAGCGTTGCCGAAAGGAGGTGT